AGAGCACGGCGTTCCGCTATCCTCCACCGCGTCTTCTCTCTTGACTCTCTCAACACTCCCACCAATCTTCTGCCGCTTTTTCGGTGGCATAGGCGATGAATCGAGCAATACGGGAGCTTTACGAGCCCTATTGCTCCTGCGAAGCTCCAATTCATCATCCCCATTAATCAACCCACTCGGTTCGACATCTTCAACCTCTCTTTGGCTACTAGTATAAGATTTTTCACAAATTGAGTCTAACCTCTTGTGCTTTTTCTTACCCTTATGCTTATTCCTCAATTTCTTATCCTTCTTTCTCTCAGCAACAGATTCAGACCGCGATAATCGCATGTCAGAAAACCCTCCAAACGAAAAAAATATGAAAAGAGATACTAACTCTTACCTATAATATCCTTTCTCCTTCTTCTCCTCCACGCGTTAATTCACAAATCAATTCGATTTTTCGTTCAATAGGGATTTCAGCGTATCTGAAGATAAATCAAATTGGGGAAAATGAGGCTGATGGAACACTGACCTTGTTGTATGGATCATGCAGAAGAAATCACTCAACCGAAAATTGGTAACCCTACAAAATTTATCAGAAATTCAACCTGGAATTTTCAGAAAAAATCCCAAATATTTAGGGATTGAGAATCGGATTCTTCGATCATACAAAGAAATTATCAATTTTCGTTTTGCTAATTTTTTTTTTTTTTTTTTTTTTTCACAGTCAAGTGTATTAGGGCTTTTCTCTGTTGAGGGGCGGAGGTACTGAGAGATGGGTTTTTCTGAATTCACACTCAAAAATTATATATTTGGTATTTTGAGGGTTTCCATCAATCGTGTTTTAGCGCGTGTACCGAACGACTCAATTAATAGCGGGATGATGGGGCCCATCGTTCTAAATTTGTGAATTGATTGGGGTGATTATTTGCACGCGCCAATTGCTGCGATTTGGGTTGTGTGTGTTAATGTGATTTTTCTTAATTTTTGTTGATTTTTCCCACCAAACATTACCGCCAAAATTGGAGGATTTTAGTCACATTTGATATTTTCAATGTGTTATTGGTGTTTGGTGGTTCCTAGATGGATACATTTGGTAAATATATTATGCTATTTATACTTCGTAGAAGTTTACGCTTGTAACTAACGATCTTTTTTTCTAGTGATTAATTGATTTTCCAAGTTATTACATTCAATTCGTGTAGTAAGAAGCATGTTAACGTTTGAGATCCACGACATAAGTATATCATACATACCGACAAAGCATGCGCTTATGATGATGATGAATACAAGTGTCTAAATTCGAATGACATACCAATCAGTTTTCGCGCCAAAAATCGTATATATGTATCGACTTCTAAAAGGCGAACATGTTGCTTTTAGTGATTGAGCCATTGAATCTTATTTAATTGGATGTGTTACTTAACTTCGAGTGACGTAACAATTACATCGCCATTCGAGAGAACATAAATATATCAATTCTTCTCAAATATGACGTGATTGATCCGATGAATCTTATTTGATTCGATATCACAGGCTTTTTCTTCTTTTATCAAAAGGTAAATAAATGTATTTTTGTATTACAAGGAGCAAACATTGATCTTACAGAAAATGCGGCAAAATTCCTGGACAAAATCTAATTCAAAAAAGTATGACACACATCTCTAAATTTAAATTGCCTACAAATCACTTTAACATTCGAGATTAAAAGAATAGATATATCGGACCCTTTAAAACATGTGAATATCATGCATATTGATTGGTCGGCTAAATCTAGTCATTTGATTGGATACACGTGTATAATTTGAGCTGCATACCAATCACATTCACTTTTAAAATTGAGGGCGATACAGGTATTAACGTATTGGACCCACTATAAGGTGAGTATATATTACTTGTAGCGGTGTTCATTATATCTTATTTGAACGGATATGTTTGTCTAAATACGAGTGATATACCAATCACATCTAAGTTATATCATGTAAAAAGTGATCTAATTATCTATAGTGATCGATAAACGAAAATTTATTTGATCGAAAACATTTTACACATGTCTACACTTGAGTTATCTATCAATCACATTAACGTTCGAGATTGAGAAAGTAAATGTATTCAACCCCTATTAAAACACGCGTATGTTGTGTACAATGATTGATCCACTAAATCTAATCATTTGATTGGATACACGTGTCTAAATTTGAGCGGCACACTAATCACATTCACTTTCAAAATCGAGAATGTATGAGTAAATACGAGAATACTAAATCTTGTTTGATTGAAAATGTTGTCTAATGCCTTTTAATTTGAAATCCTTGGTGGTATTTTTGTAGGAGGCCAAATGTCAAATCGTTTTTTTTCTAATTAAGTCAAATTGGGTCAAAATCTTGTAGTTATTTAAATTGGGGTCAATATGTACTATTGAGTAAATTATGTTCATGGATAAAATTGATGTACATTACATTCAAATGAATATTTTTGGCAAAGGGGGAAATTATAGTTTTGGTCCTCTATGATAACTTGTTTACGAATTTAGTTCTCTAACTTGTCATGTTTCAGTTTTACATGCAATAACTTTGCAAATATAGTATTTTTAGTCATATTTTCCATGATTTATAATTTTATGATACAACAAATAAACTTGACGCATTTTACTTATATGAACGCTTGGAAATCGATAAATTCGACATCTAATTTACCAGTAGTAGAACTTTAATTATGTGAGACGACACATCTACAAACCAAATTAGAGGAGCATTTATAATTTTTAAGTGTCCATATAAATAAATTTCTACGAGTTTGTTAGGTACATCATTAAACGACGGTTAAAATTCAAAGTTCGAGTGAAATAGAACTAAAAATACTAATTTTGCATAATTATTGCATGTAAAACTGAAATAAGACAACTTATAGGACTAAATCCTTAAAAGAGAACAACATATATGACCAAAATTTCGATTTTCCCTTTCGGCAAAAGACATGTGGGTGCATTTTTTTTATTTTTTAATTTTGAACTGGTTTTAGTCTGTACATATATGCAATTAAATCAAGACTTATGGGCCTAGATGCAATTCACCCAACATATATTTAGGCTCAAAATTAAATTAGAAATTTATGATTGCTTAATATTCTTGTGTATATTTATTATTAATGCTAGAAATCGATTAAGATAGTATCGATGCGGCAATGGAAACACAACTGCAAACTGCTTCTTCACTTTAAGTATTTTACTGATAAATTCCTTTTATTAATCCTTAACCCAACTGTAAACCGCAAATTTTTCGAATCTGTAAAACATAAATACAAGACAAGAAAAATATAGGAAACAAATAAATTTATTATCAAACGAAAGCGGATTACAATCTCCGTAATTCCCCTGATTCTTCTCTCCTATTCTAGATTTGATTCAAGGGCTTAAAAGCTTGTTCTTGAATCGAACGAATGATTTCATATCACGAACATCTCGAATTTAAATGTGTTATGAATTCAAGGAATCGAATATATATGATTTCCTATCACGAACACCACAAATTCAAATATATTATGAATTCAAGGCGGAGGCTCGAGACGTGAGCTTGAGAGCTCGATATGTGTCTGTGTGAGTCTGATTTTTAGATGCACCAAAGATCTTCTTTTATAGGCACAAGCTAGGGTTAGGGTTTCTCGACTTGCAGAGTCGGCCGGACATTCTAAAGCCCAAATATGTTATGGACTTTAATTTGAGACCTAAATTAATAATTGAATTATTTTGGTTATTAATTAGTAATTTATCTCAAAATTTCGATGTCTACACCAACTATTAAGGGTTTTTGCAAGAATCAACCATGTGTAATCTCTAATTGCTGACAAAACTCTTATGTTAAAAATATCAGCAAAAACTCCTCTATAAAAATTAGTCAAAGCCAGTAATGCATCTAAAAGTTGAATGTGTGTTGCACGTGCGGATTTCGCGACCTGGGGTATATTTTTCGACTTGAAAAGACCAAAATACCCTTCAAAACATAAATTTAGAAAGTTATAAATTCACTCCATAATTATTGTAAGACCCAAAAATAAAAGTTTAATAATTTTCTTTTATATTTAATATAAAAAAAATCATTTAGTTTATTTAAATTGAAATATTTTGTTAAAAGTATTATGTGTAATTTTAATATACGAGTTGTGTGCTTTGTAAAACGTAATATATGGGCATTATTGTTATTTTTTTTAAGGGTAAATTCCACTCCCCCCTACTTTGGCTCGATATTATTGTACCCCTTCTACTATTGATTGAATTGATTTGTCCCCTTGCACTTGAAAAATTATCTCAATGTTGCCCTCGATGTTAGTTGTCATACATTTTGACCTTAACAATATTTGATCTAAAGTTCTGGAATTACAAAACACCACCGCTCCCAGTTTAAATAATTATTAAAATAAATAAATAAAACAAAAGATAAAATAACAAAAAAATCAAGACAACGAGAAAACATAGTCCACGACGCCAACCACAATTTATTTTTAATTTTTTTTAATAATTATTTAAATTAGGAGGGGTGACTTTTTTGTGATTTTCAGACTTAGATCAAACGGTGTTGAGGTCAAAAGTCTGAAAACTAACAACGAGGGCCACACGTAGACAATTTTTCAAGTACACGGGGCAAATCGATGCAATCGAGTAGAATGAGATAAAGTGATATCGAACCAAAGTACAAGGGGAACGTGAAATTTACTCTTTCTTTTAACATAGGATTTTTTCGACAATTAAAGATTACAAAGGGGGTTGTGGTAATAACTCACAATTATTAAGCAAATAAAGTGAAAATAAAGAAGAAAACAACCACACACACACATCAAGTTTTCTTCTAGAACAATCTTAGAACAAACTTGTCTTTAAAACATCATAGAATAGAAGTTCCTAAACATAAGGAACAAGAAACCTCTTTGTCTCCGGTCCAGCGACCATATCATGCCACAGCAAATCCGACAGTGCCATTGTCAATTCTCCCACCTTACCTAAATAATTAAAATTAAAAAAAAAAAAAAAAAAAAAAAGAAGTTACCTATTGTTTCAAGAATGTGCTTCTTGCAAGTATATATATAGTTCAATAAAGAAAAAAGAAAAGGTTACCATCTCCGATAGGCACGCCATCCCACTCGACGATCGGCAATAAAGGAAGCGTGCTTCCGACGAACATCATTTCCTTCGCCTTCTTGGCTTCCTCCGTGCTCAAATTCGCGAGCCGAACGCCCTTCAATGGGCCCCGCTTCACTAACTCCTCCGCCACCTCAAGAAGCCTCATCGCGGTGCAACCGCTCAAAATCTTGTCGAAAAACGGCAGCACGAGCTCGTTCTCGTTCGTAACGAATGCCACATTCACGTTCGGGCCCTCCGCCACAAAACCCTCGTCGTCGATCCAGATGGAGGCGTCGGCCCCCACATCCTCTGCCTCCATCTTCGCGAGTACGTTCGGGAGGTAGTTCACGTTCTTCATAGTGGCGAAGAGCGGAGATTTCATCGGAATCTTGGAGGTGATCACTTTGACCCCTTCTTTGCATTGGGAGATGCTTTCGTCTATGACCACTGCGTAGAAGGCGGACGAGGAGCACCCGGTGGGGGAGAGGAGGAAGTCTCCGGGGCCCGCGCTTAGCCAGTATCGGAGGGTGCCTTCCTTGCATTTTGAGACGGATGCGAGTTGAATGAGGATTTTTTTTAGGGTGGATTTGGGAAACGGAGAGTCGATTCTCGCTTTCGATGCCGACTTGAGGAAACGGGTGAGGTGTGCGTCCAGCTCGTAGAGGTGTCTGTCGAGCAGCAAACCGGAGAAATTAATATTTTGAAAATAGTTTTATCGAACGAAAAAATATTTTGTTCAATTTTTTTTACTATGTTAATAAATCGAGCTCGAGTCGAGTACGAACACCCGTTTTAGAGTCTTGATTGAGGATGATTACACGAAAATAGAACAAGGGATTACTCGAGTTTCCGATTTCGTAGTCTTATGTCTTTTAGAGGCCTATACCATGTGATTTGACTAAGTGTTTCTCTCGGCCCCGACTCGTTGAAAACGTGTTAAATAATTAACTCGATAATTTAATAATTCGCTAAATTAATAGAATTTCCTTAATCCCGATTGTATTTTTTTTATAGAGGTTTAACTATATCCTATGCACAATATCTCCAACCAAAGTAAAAATCACAAATTACGAAGAAAAAAAGGCGATAGCGAATATAGTAATTTACCCGCCGAGAATGATGGCGGTGTCGAAAACACCGTGGCCTCGATGAACCATGTGATCGTCCATCGGGATAACCATCATCGCTTGGTCCATAATAATCCCACCGAACACGCTCGAATACATCGCCGGGTACGTTTTCGGCTTCCCCTTCCACTTCTCTTGAAGCTTCGAAAGCAACTAAATAAATTCGAATGGAAATGTCATATAGAAATTAAAGTAATTATTTATAAATATCATAGGAATTTTCATTTTATTAATTATGCAAGAATCAAATCCAAAGATTCCTAAACCTTCAGATAACACACAATTCAATGATCAAGAATAGATTGATTTTTAATAAGATCAAGAAAATAGTTCATAAAAGCAAGAAATTTGCAGAATCAATTTATTTCAATTTAAAAAATAAATAAATAAACAAGGGCTCTTAATAGATTCACCTCTTCTGATGATGAGAACACATCAACTTTAAATTCTTCACCATTTTCCACCTCAGATGCCATCACTGCATATCAGAAACAAAATAATGATAAATAAATAAATTAATTCATTAAAAAAAGGGTTAATTTTAATTCCATTTTAAGTGCAGTAATTTCAAGAAAATTGGACTGTGAAAAAAAATAAATAAATAGAGATTTACCAGATTTTTCATTACAAGAAGAGCCAGGTGTTGCCATTGATTGCACCGAAAGAAGATGAACACAAATTCAGCAAAAAAAAAAGAAAAAGATGAGTGTGTAAAGATTCTCTGTGGAAAACACAAAGAAAAAACACACTGCACACTTTTTTTTTATAGATGAAATAAAATAAATAAATAAATTGTTTTGTAATAACAGGCCTTCAGTTTTAGGTGACTGGGTATTTTTTGTCTTGTATTTTTCTGGTCAGCAGTTTCCAACTAGTATTATAAAAGAGTAAATTGCAAAAAGTACCCATGTTTAATATCCAAATAGCAAAAACCCCCTTTGTGAAAAATAAACTAGCAAAAACCCCATATGAAATTATTTATATAGCACATTGGGCCCATTATATTCATTTGTGTGTTGACTTGATATAAAAAGACACAAATATCCTAGAGTTTTGCAATTAATAAATTCTTATATTTTAATAAATATTTTAATAATTTTATTTTTGTTATATATTAATTAATACAGTACAATGGGATCTTTTATTTCTATTTTTATTATCAGATAATTTCTATATATGTTTTTAATCATCCCTACGTTAAAAGAAAACTTAAATTTTATTATTATTTTGCTTTGTATTTAAAAAAGTCCATACTTAATTTAATTACCAATTTTTTTTAATATTTTTGCAATTTAATTGTTTACAATTTTTTAAATAATATTCTAATTCCCAAACAATCAAATCAAAAAGAAAATATATATACATACGATATATATATATATACATACAAATACATTTTGAGGGACAATTTCGTCATTTCACGTCTAAAAATCAGCTATCAGCCGCACATTCAGCGAGTGAGCCACACGAAAATCAACCAGGGGGTTTCTGGCTTTTATTCAATTTCACAGGGAAGTTTTGCTAATTTATTTATCACATGGGGGTTTTGCTATTTAGAGATTATACAAGAGTACTTTTTGCAGTTTAGTCTACTATTTAATATATTTTTTTGTGGTGCATATATGAACAAATTACCCCATATATAAATTTATAAAAATTATAAAAAAAAAAAAATTAAAAAATAAATAAAATAGAAAGGGTTGCTAGTAGAATATAACGAACACGACAAAGCCAAACGGCGAGTTGGAAGTTTCCTGCTGAAGATGAACATCTTTTTGAACAGATCAGATTAAACAAATGAATTTTATTTTAGTAAATATAGTGAAAGTTTGCTTCTTTAGACGTTTTCTTCAACAGAAATAAAAATAAAAATAAAAGATAGTCTACAATATAATTAAATAGTCTTTTAATTAAGTACAATATTATAAAGGGTAAATTACGAGCACCCCTTGAGGTATGGTCAATTTACGAAAAACATCTCTTGTTTGGATAATTAAATCTACCCCATCAACTATGATTTTTTCTTACACCTCCCCCCTTATGGTGTCAAATTCAACATAATCATCTAGGTTTCGTGGAATGTGCTCTAGTTTATACTCGTTTTGTGTAAAAATACAGTTTCTGATGCACCACAATATGTTATATACAAGCCAAAAAACACATATTATGATCATCTTGCTTCAAAATGTGGAGTTCGAATGAAATAAATCGGGTACAAAAGTGATAATATTTCATATAATCTCGAAGATACCACTAAATTTGAAACCACAAGGGTGGACGTGTAAGAAGATTTATAATTGAGGGGGTGATTGTAATTACTCAAACACGAGGGGGGTTTTCGTAATTTGACCATACCTCAGGGGTGGTTGTAATTTACCCATAATATAAATAAAAAGGGAAATATACTATAATTTTTTTTTACCATAAATGCGATTAATCAATTTTTCAAAAAGAAAAAAATATATCAAAAAAAATAAAAAATGAGAGACGTCTCTCTCTATTTCTTAGGTTGATTAATTTTGTGACAGCGGAACGAACATTTTCAGCAATGAATTTGAATAATTGAAAAACGTTGGGATTAACGTTATATAAGCGATGGATATATCTTCCGAAGTCGAAACATATATTCACTCCCCAATCAACAAGCCACTGTGTTGATGCTCTACCAGGTTAATCCGGATTGTTTTGCCCGTACCCTTCTTCTCGACCGATCAATATATATCTAACACGCATCGATCTCAATAAAAGTGTAAATATCGAAAGTAGAAATTAAATCTACGTTGATTCGAGAAAATGTTTTCTAGTCTCGATGGATGGAAATATTATTGAAAAAATACAATTTTCATCCCTCAACTTTGCACCGATTTCACATTTGGTCCCCATGTTCACAAAAAAATACATTTGGTCTCTCATATTTAAAACATTAAACATTTTCAGTTATTTTCGTCAATTTTCCGTTAAGACTAATGGAATCAAATGTGTGCCTATCACTGCCGTAACTAACGGACTCACGGTGAAATGAAGAAAAAATACCAAATGTATTTTTTTATGAACACGAGGGACCAAATGTGAAATCATTGCAAACTTGCGGGGTGAAAACTGTAAATTTTTCAAATATTATTCACTATACTATCATCAATAGATTCAATCACACAATATAACTGTTTTATTCAATTCTAATGTATATATATAAATAACTTTTGTTTTCTTGTCCCACATTGGAAGAAAACCAATACTGTAACACATATATAACTTTCTACTCAACACTGGTTGTACGCCGAGCCAATTCACGTCGGCTTGTAACCCAAGTGGGGGCATCAAAGTGGTTGGACATTGTTCTAGCTCAGCTAGCCGAGCCGAAGGTGGCTACTTACTGGCTTGCCCGTTCCAAGTCACGTGGCTCCTAAATTGGAGGGCATTGCGCAAGGCTGGCTTCACAGAGCAACGAAAACCTTCAGCTCCTTACGGTGGAAGGATAACGAGCCGGTTGCCACCTTGGCCCACTAAAGCTTGATGGGCTAGCTCTAATTGAACATCCACTTTTTTTTTCGTTTGCAATTTGTTTTGAATTTATTCGAGGTTTTTTTTTTTTTTTTTTTTTTTTATTACGAGCAAATTTATCGAATTATTAGATGGATTTGTTTGCAATTTGTTTTGAATTTATTCGAGTTTTTTTTTTTTTATTACGAGCAAATTTATCGAATTATTAGATGGATTTGAACGTCCTTGCGGTGGAAGGATAACGAGCCAGTTGCTACCTTGTCCCACCGGGCTAGATCTAATTGAACATCCTGTTTTGAATTTATTCGAGTTTTTTTTTTTTTTTTTTATTACGAGCAAATTTATCGAATTATTAGATGGATTTGTTTGCAATTTGTTTTGAATTTATTCGAGTTTTTTTTTTTTTTTATTACGAGCAAATTTATCGAATTATTAGATGGATTTGAACGTCCTTGCGGTGGAAGGATAACGAGCCAGTTGCTACCTTGTCCCACCGGGCTAGATCTAATTGGACATCCATTTTTTTTTTCATTTGCAATTGTTTTAAATTTATTCGAGATTTTTTTTTTTTTTTAATTACGAGCAAATTTATCGAATTATTAGATGCATCTACACGTTATTTCCACAATGAATTCGTTGATATTAGTGTACTATGAGAATAACTGAAGCACGTGAGTTGATTACGCGCATGCAAAAATAATGTGCACTTCTCAAGAAAATATATTTTTTTATAAACTGTCGCTTAAATTAGTAAAAATATATATATATTTTTTGTTTTTTCGAGATTGAAGTTAAGAAATGTAATTCACTACAAGAGAAACTAGTATTGAAAATTCGTTTTGAATTTATTCGAGTTTTTTTTTTTTTTTTTTTTTTTTACGAGCAAATTTATCGAATTATTAGATGGATTTGAACGTCCTTGCGGTGGAAGGATAACGAGCCAGTTGCTACCTTGTCCCACCGGGCTAGATCTAATTGAACATCCAATTTTTTTTTTTTTTCATTTGCAATTGTTTTAAATTTATTCGAGTTTTTTTTTTTTTAATTACGAGCAAATTTATCGAATTATTAGATGCATCTACACGTTATTTCCACAATGAATTCGTTGATATTAGTGTACTATGAGAATAACTGAAGCACGTGAGTTGATTACGCGCATGCAAAAATAATGTGCACTTCTCAAGAAAATATATTTTTTTATAAACTGTCGCTTAAATTAGTAAAAATATATATATTTTTTTGTTTTTTCGAGATTGAAGTTAAGAAATGTAATTCACTACAAGAGAAACTAGTATTAGGGACGATTTGTTGTGGTCGCTAAAAGCAAGAAAAAGGTACGAAATTGCTGCTTAACTTTTTTTTGTTTTTTCGAGATTGAAGTTAAGAAATGTAATTGACTATAAAAAAACTAGTTTTAGGGACGATTTGTTATGGTCGCTAAAAGCAAGAAAACGGTACTAAATTGCTACTTAATTTTTTTTTATGCATCTAAACGTTATTTCCACAATGAATTTGTTGATATTAGTGTACCATGAGAATAACTGAAGCACATGAGTTGATTATGCGACATGCAAAAATATTGTGCACTTCTCAAGAAAATATATTTTTTTGAAATTGTTGCTTAAATTAGTTAAATATATATATATTTTTTTGTTTTTTCGAGATTGAAGTTAAGAAATGTAATTCACTACAAGAGAAACTAGTTTTAGGGATGATTTGTTATGGTCGCTAAAAAGTAAGAAAACGGTACGAAATTTGCTGCTTAATTTTTTTTTTTGTTTTTTCGAGATTGAAGTTAAGAAATGTAATTCACTACAAAAAAAACTAGTTTTAGGGACGATTTGTTATAGTCGCTAAAAGCAAGAAAATGGTACGAATTTGCTGCTTAAATTAGTAAAGTATATTTTTTTTTTGTTTTTTCGAGATTGAAGTTAATAATTGTAATTCACTACAAGAAAAACTGGTTTTAGGGACGATTTGTTATGGTCGCTGAAAGTAAGAAAACAATACGAAATTGCTGCTTAAATTAGTAATATATATATATATATATATATATATTTTTTTTTTTTTTTTTGTTTTTTCGAGATTGAAGTTAAGAATTGTAATTCACTACAAGAAAAACTGGTTTCGGGGACGACTTGTTATGGTCGCTAAAAGCAAGAAAACAACAGAAATTGCTGCTTAGATTAATAAAATATTTTTTTGTTTTGTTTTTCCGAGATT